GGGCGGGGGATGATGACGACAGTGTTATGTGAACACAACCAACACTAGCACCACAAGAGCCGTTGTACTCGGTATTTACAGTACTTTCGTGATGTCGTACTTTCTGATATAGTTGCCACCCCTACTTCTGGACTGTGCGTCTTGAACTTTGGTGTCTCGAACGGCTTGCAGCGAAAACTCGAAATTGGGTGGGGGAAAGCTTTTCCTCGGTATTTGCAATACTTTCGCAAACAACCCCGCTTTTACTCGGTATTTACAGCACTTGGTGATGAAACGTGATGAAATGTGATTGATTTTTAGTGATGTTGGTGATGAAATGTGTCTGCTTCTTGGTGATGTTGGTGATGAAAATGTGTTTGCAATTTGGTGAGCACACAACCCGCTTTTACTCGGTGTTTACAGCACTTTTGGTGATGTTGGTGATGAAAGGTGATGAAATGTGCTTGATTTTTCGTGATGTTGGTGATGAAATGTGTTTGCTTTTGCGTGGTAGGGGGTGGCAAGTAGTAGTAGTAGTAGTAGTAGTAGTAGTAGTAGTAATAGTAGTAGTAGTAGCAGCAGCAGCAGCAGCAGTAGTAGTAGTAGTAGCAGTAGCGGTAACAGTTGCAGTAGAAGTAGGAGTGGTCACGGTTGCCGTTGCAGTTGCGGTTGTGGTTGCTGTTGCTCTTGCCCCTGCCGTTGCTGTGCGGTGGCGGTGGTGGTGGTGCAGGTGCTATTGTCAGTGTTGGTGCTGCTGTGGCTGTGATCTTGCCAGGGTGTTCTCATTCAACACACTATGTCGGCACTTTGCAGGTTGCATCGTCGAATGTCTTTCGAGCCACGGGCGTCCGACCAATGTGCTTTCAGCGGCCTAAACCTTCGGGTATGGGGTGATAACATCCATTCGTTGGCAAATGTAGGTTTGAGTTTGCTAAGAACTCGTTCCGGGAAGCAGTCCTCAGGGTAGGGGTTAATGGGTGTGTTCTTTGGGAGATAGCAACACTTTCAATTCAAGAGAATACGGGCTTGGTGAGTCCCAGTGTCAGGGAAGAAAGCCAGCTCTTGTTTTGTATGCCTTCGCTTGTATTTGGAAGGTACAAGCTAATGGGTGAGACAAAGAGATACCTGGGCTTTGCAGGCACAAGAAGTAGAGTACACGACGATTCGAAACACGAACCAATGCTGTCCAACGCTACTGCGAACACTTCATAATCACATGTCACATGAATTTCAAGCAAGTGCATCAGTGCATCGGCTGTGTTTATTGACATGCCATGATCATGCCATGCTGCATGAAGTGATCATGTTCACATGCCAGACATGCTCTGATGTGCCGTGAGACATGCTCTTCATGATCCGACTTGATCCCTGACATGGCCAGCGGCACGCATGCAAACTCATGTTCACGTCGGCAGGCCGCACTCATGACTCTTGACTCAATTGCACATGCCGTCATGAGGTCATGGTGCATGCACGCATGGACCAGTGCCTTAGCAGAATGTGTTGAACCGCACAGTCGGTCCGTTTTCTGAGATAGCGGTCGTGTAAGGCCCAGCGTCCCAAAACTACTACGACCGATCACAGAGCAGGCCCGTGCATCATGGCATAATTTTGTCATGTGGTCATGCCGGCTGCCTGTGCGTGTGCCAGTGCCACTAGGCCCGCATGTGCCGTCACGATGATGTGTGAGACTCATATAAGAGATGAAGCTGGGTGGTGTGGCAACACGGCAACACGCTAGACGAATAGTTTAACAGCAGTTTTGTGAAGCTGCAGATAGCGAAGCTCATGGTATCATACGAGAGTTTACCTGGGATGCCCATTCCGCCATTCAGCGCAGGAGGAACTGGACGTCCGAGGCCCGTGGCGCGGATGCAATCAGCTTCGATGATGTGGATGCTTCCTTCTTCACGTCTGTCGCACCTTTCCTCTGCTCCGCAAGTTTTTTGCTGTAGGCGGTGCCTCCACGGAATACCTCACTGTCTTTCGTTGCTGCCAAGCTTTTTGCCCACGTCCACTTCCACATGCAAAGCAGAAGGGGGTGCGTGTGAGTGCAAGAATGAAATCATCTGGTTGGACCTCCAGGAAAACCAATTCGACTCAAGGTGCTCTGGACTCTTGACTTAAGACTTAAGCATGATCCGTGTGTATGCACTGCATGCTGACATGCGAATGTCATGTCAGATGAGAATGCCAACCTTCATCTGTTCCAGCACAGACTCTCGAGGCTGTAGCAATACATACGTGACACTGACGTCCACCTGTGCACCGGTCCTTAGACGACAAAGCCACGAACTCTATCGCACCATGGCCACTCAGCAATTGTACCATCCAAACATCGCTGAGGCTCGCAACTACAAATGGCAATGTTTCCTGCTCCGTTGTGACTTCCAAGGACGATTTCGGGGCCGCTCTCTTGTCCGATTCGGCCAACGACTTCATAAGAAAGGGTGCACAAGGCATCTCAGACGTAACCTTAATGCAAGTAAAACTTGATTGTGTGGGCTTCCAATGTGCATTGGGCGACCTCGGGCGAGAATGGCTGAACAGCATGTGATGTTGCGCTATGCAGCTTGCAGTCCATGCGACGCATTGGGGCTCACTGGCCTGATGCAGGCTGATGCACTCATGTTCTCATGCACACATGGACACATGGGCTCATGCACTCATGCTCTCCAGCACTGATGGGCACATGCACGCATGCTGTCATGCAAACATAGACTCAAGCACTCATGGCTCATGGGCACATGCTCAGCAATGAACTAATGAAGCCATGAACTTGGGCACTAAGCAATGCAACTCAGTCGCCTCGGCAAGAAGTGCCTGCCGACCTTCAGTGCCCGCTCACCTGCGACCCTTCAGCAAGTCCACCAGCAGGTCGCTGAACTTGTTGCGTGGGTAGACGCGACCCGTGCCGTCGACGTCCACGCCACTGGAAGCAGCAAACACAGCTAGCAGCCGAGCCACCACCGCATCCATTGTGCTGGGTCTTAATTACATGCAATAGAACAACCTGAATGCATATATGATCCTGAATCAGCTCGCAGTCACCAAAGCATTTCGTTCCATCCACAGACAATATTGTGCTGTGTTGCATCAAGAAATATGCAAACCAACCACCACATGTATTCCAGCAACAAACTTGGCAGCCAAAGGACGACGAAGCATGAAGACATGCCCTCATGAAACACATGACCCAGCAACCCCAAAAGCATATTGTTGCCGACTAGAAAGTATAAAAACAAAACAATAGTTCACGAACATTTCCTGTTTGCCGATGCAACATCCAAAGTTAAAAAAACAATGAGCGATGCAGCTTCGCACTATGCACGATCAAGCCCCGACCCAAAGAAAAATCATGTGCTTCCAGCAGGAACACAATAAATAAGGATGTGCTCGCTCACAAAGATATATGTTTTTGCGACATGCACCAGTACAGCACAACACTTCGCCGTGATGGAAAACCTTCAGTCTACTGTCTGCCCCACCAGAAAGTACTACACAACCAGTCCCCTGAGAACTCATCCCCGGTAGGTGTTCTGAGCTAGCCTTGTCCTAGCCAAGCCCTCGGGTGGATGTTATCAGGTATGAGGCTTAGATCTCGGCTGGGAGACGGAAACCACCAACATATTGCCGGCTGATCCCATAGCCTGAATAGAAGCCCATACCAAAGACCCGATCTCAAATCTGCAAAGCCGGCACCTAAATCCCAAACCCGAAGACCCCTGAACACAAACCCTAAACCCCAAATAAGCCCTTCAACTTCTTCCCCTCTGGCCGGGATGGCCTTGACCTTGCTGAAGAGGGCCAGGGACAGCTGTCGCTCGGTAAAGAACCTCATAAGCGAGAGACTCAGATGTTGTCGGTGGGGTGCTTTCGGTTTTACCGGCTTAGTGTGCAGTTATATAGGGTTTAAAGGGTTTAGATGGGATTGGGGCTTAACGTTCAGGGTGAACGAAGTACGGCTGTTGTAAGGTGCCGTATGAATCATGAAATATTCTCTACGAATACCCTATATCCAGAGGCCTGCTACACCTTCAATAACACGCCTTATGTGCCCAGCATCCGATATCCGAAATGAACTGAATGGACACGCGGCTAGCTGCTGAACCCCTAAGCCCCAAGACTATGAGATCAACAAGTCGCAACTGAGCCCCAAGCTTTCCATCCGAAGGCCCCCCGAAACCCTAAACCCTAAGCCCCCCTAAACCTTAAACCCTAAACCCTAAACCCTAAACCAAAACCCTAAACCCTAAGCTCCCATGCCCCACATGAGACGAGCGGCAGCTCCAGTTTGCCTTGTTCCAAAATCTGCCCCCGCCGGGCCGCCCGCATGGAGCTGACCTAGCATGGAGCCATTCGGTTTAGGGTTTAGGGTTTAGGGTTCAGGGCTTTGTGCTGTCTTCTATTCTAACTATGTGGGGGTTTCCGAAAATCGGGGACCCTAATATAGTAGCCTCAATAGTTGGATCCCTATAATAAGGACCCCCAAATAAGGAACAAAGAACTCGACGACCCAAGTAAGGCGTGCTTTACGCACAGTTTTGTCAAAGGAGTTTAACCTTAAGGGTCCAAGTACCTAATAATCATATACTCTCCCAGATACTAACCTACATAACTACTATCCGTAACCTAAGTACCTCATTATTGGGTCCCAGATACTAACCTACACAACTACTATCCGTAACCCAAGTACATGATTATTGGGTCCTTTGGACCCCTGGGCTTACCTAACCCCTAAACCCTAAACCCAAAACCCTAAACCCTAAACCCCTAAACCCTAAACTCTAAACCCTAAACCCTAAACCCTAAACCCTAAACCCTAAACCCCTAACCGAAGTACCTGATTATTGGGTCCTTTGGACCCTTAGGGGGAGTTTAAGGGCCTCAGGGACTTCTGGGTTTTGGGAACATGGGGATTTAGGCCAGGTCGCGCGAGGGTTTAGGGTTTAGGGTTTAGGGTTTAGGGTTTAGGGGGGGTTACTTTGTCTGTCTGGTGCTTAGTACCCTAAGGGTCCATGTACTCATATAGTATATACATTGGCCTTAATGTAGTCCATATATAGGTACTTTAGGGCCCATGTATATGCTATATGAGTACATGGACCCTTAGGGGTAGGGAATGGGGGAATGGGTTATGGGGACTACTATAAGGGACCTTAAGGGAACATCATAGGGATCCATTCCCCCATTCCCTACTAAGCACCAGACAGTTGAGGGTCAGCAAAGTTCTGGGGCCCCTGTAAGTTCGGAACCTGGCCCTACGCCCTTAAAGTATGAACCTTGCATTACATATCCCTAAGGGTCCATGTACTCATATAGCATATACATGGGCCCTAAAGTACCTATATAGGGACTACATTAAGGCCAATGTATATACTATATAAGTACATG